GATACTGAAGATTCGCAGGCCGTGGAGCAGCTACCATGAACTGACAATAGTTGTACATTTGTTCCAGTCCTTACCATGTTTTCAATCATCTTGAATGAACTTAAATAACTGTTGAATTGCGTGGTTCCGTGGTCTGAGGTTAGGCTAGCAATGTTTAAAACAATGGGCAGAATCATGTTGTACTTTTCACGCACACTTAGTGCCTTTACGCTTTGTTCACTCTCCTTCAAATCTCCAGAAAAACCATCAGAAAATTCTTCCAACAGTGCATCAACCTCTGGGCATTCTGTATCTAAGCAACCATTCTTTCTGTGATAGCGAATATGTGAAACAAAGATACATCGAAACAGGATAAACGATCATGCTCTCGCTTCAAGAAGATGTGCCGGCATGGCGTTTGCTTGTCCATTCGGACCAAGGCTTGACAACACATTTTTATTAATTAATGTCGCCGATGCGGTACCGACGAGTAGCCATTTATTCATCGGTACGGTACCGACGAATAGCTATATTCATCGGTACGGTACCGACGAATAGCCATTTATCCGTCGGTACCGTACCGACGAATAGCCTCATCCTTTATTTTTTCCCTAATGAGCGAAGAGAATTAAGAGCGATATTGATTTATCTCAATAAACCCAGCAAAAGAAATTCGGTCTTACCGTCTTAAAGGCAACGTTATATCGCATCGTGTAACATAATTCACTAGCCGCCACTTTGACTGGAAAAGAGCCCTCGCTTTTTTGTGAGTTGTGTCTTCCACAAGCTGGGGACCTCTTCTCGCTGAGCCTCATCGATCGGACCATATTTTTATTCATTCTAATTAGCCGGCTCGTCTTAAAAGAAGGTCCCGGAAACTTTTAATTGCTTCGTTTTTTCAATTTAATTTAACGGAGTAGCAAGTTACTTGTTTTTGATCTTGGGCTCTTATTGACATGATGACGGTGGAATAAATGCTTCAACTCCTGAGTAAAGTGACTGAGGCTCAAGATGGATCCTTATCTTTAACACAGTGTATCAGGGGTACAACAATTGGGTTTTTGTTGTTACCCGATATTTTAATAAGAAATTCCCAATGACCCGTCTATCAACTCAACGCGCGACGACTTTGCCCGATAGTGCGCGGGCATCGTTGCCGGTGTACGCCAAAGACGACCAATGCCCGGCTGAGTTTGCCCTTGAAATTTCAGTGAAATTTCAAAAGGCCTCATAAATTTCAATTTTTTTGAAAAATTGATTTATTTGCCCCTTAATTCCTTTTCTTCACTCATGTTCCTAAATTTAATAATAATACATTTTCTTATTGTTCCTCACGCCTGTTTTTTCTTTCTTTCCCATTAGCTAGTCTTGTTACTCTCCTATAAATAATATGGCATCGTAAAACAATTGTGTCCCTCAAAAAAAAGTCATGATTGTGCTATTCTTTTCAGTAGGTAAAATTCTTCTCTAAGATTAGAATAAATAGTATGTACCTAAGTACCTTTTTTTTCTATTGCTCTAAACTTTATTTGCATTTAAATGATAAATTTCAAGAATCATAGATGAAGAGCCCAGTACTCAGTGCATTGTATGTAACGTTGGAGTACATATTTCTGCTGTTTTTTATTTTTTTTGTTTTTTCTACCGTTTTTTCTTTTTTTTCTTTTTTCTTTTTTTTTCTTTTTTCTTTTTTTTACTGAAAATCATTTTCTTCACAGTGAGTACATGAAGTTTAGAGCCAAAAAAATACGAACAACAAAAAGTAAAGGTAGGAATTTTATGATCATTTTGTCTTAGTTGACCGGCAAAAATCTACAGTACCAAAAATCTATGGCACGAATGCGGACAAAACAAACAACGGCGGTTGAATCATTTCGATTTCAGCCGCCATTTTGTTGCGAGACGGCAAGGGGGCACGAGATACGACTCTAATACTCCCTATGCATATTCGTCTTGTTGTGGCAAGCAGTTGGGCAGAAAAAATTACTAGAATCAAAAAATTACTGAAAATCAAGCTTAGATTTTAATTTTTCACGGTNCTTTTGCGCATTGTGAATGCGTCTTATCACTGAATCATTCGCGAGTTAGGGGTCCCTTACGTTCAATTCACGTTGAAATAATTACACAGAGCAGTGAGGTGTCCAACACGAGCCATTTTTTTCACCTTCAGCTGCCGATGTGCGACGTTGCCATTTTTTGAAGTGAAAACTCTTAAAAATGCATAACTCCGCTGCATTTCAACCGATTTCAATGAACTTTTTTTTGAAATGTTCCTCTTAAATAGAGCTTTCTAATGGTATTTAGGTTTCTGGATTTTATTTACCTTAGGGAAGCACTTAGGTCGTTCATATGGTTCTGTGCAGAGATTTTTCATTCAAAAAATAGTGGTAGGTAAATAAAATAAAATAGGTAAATAAAATCCAGAAACCTAAATACCATTAGAAAGCTCTATTTAAGAGGAACATTTCAAAAAAAAGTTCATTGAAATCGGTTGAAATGCAGCGGAGTTATGCATTTTTAAGAGTTTTCACTTCAAAAAATGGCAACGTCGCACATCGGCAGCTGAAGGTGAAAAAATGGCTCGTGTTGGACACCTCACTGCTCTGTGTAATTATTTCAACGTGAATTGAACGTAAGGGACCCCTAACTCGCGAATGATTCAGTGATAAGACGCATTCACATTGCGCAAAAGCGCGTGTGACCAACTTTGAGCGGTCATATCTCGGAAACTAAACGTTTCCCCGGGATGATCTTGTGCTCGTTAGAAAGGTGAGAATCTGAACTTTCGTTTAGACTGGTTTTTGTTTAGATTCCGTCGATTCCACGATCGTGGTAAAATAAAAACTAAATTTTTGTGTCTATCAAAAACTGCTAAAACCGCGTAAGTGCCACTTAAAGCCGAGTAAACCCCTAAAAACTATATATCAATAGAAAGCTCTATTTAAGAGGAACATTTTTAAAAAAAGTTCATTGAAATCGGTTGAGATGCGGCGGAGATATGAATTTTTAAAGGTTTCCACTTTAAAAAATGGCAACGTCGCAACCCGGCTCTTCTAAGCAAAACGGTGACCGGTTTTGGGCGTCTCGGAAGCTACTGTATCACCCCAAGTGATCAAAATTCGAGAATGCCTTGAGGCATTTTTGGCCGTTTTTTCACACACCTCTTTCAAGTGAAATTTCAAAATCTTAGTTTTCATGAAATTTTCCATCTCAGATGCCCGGCCATTGATGCCTAATCGCCTCTGATTGTGAGTCACACGGTGGCCAATTAGGCAGCTAGGGCATCGTTTTTTTTTGCCCGGCCATCGTCGACAATGCCCTAGGTAGTTGGGCACCGTCGACGATGACTGGGCAAAGACTGACTTTGCCCGACACCCCTACGTTTCCCGTAACCTAAATAAAAAACTAATTGAAGGGTCTCCCTGCAATTATTCTTGAGACCCGGAATCAAATAGCAACTAACAAGTCTTTTTTCGCACAAAAATCACCGCAAACAACTCAATTTTTAAAGGCCGGGGAGATTGTTTTTCTTCGAAAACTCAAATTCTATTTTTCGACCCAACTTGACAAAAGCTCCTCTTCTGGAAATGTTGCCAGCAGGAAAGGAGATTATTATTCCTGTTACAGCAAAAACTAATTGACTTGTATTCACAGCACTCGATTCAATTCGTAATTTGACTCTTTGACGTATTACCATACTTATTAGAAGTCTTTGAACGCTATGGAGGATAATATGAGAAGGTTTTCCAGGAAAATTAACAACTACTTGAAGAATCCTTACTCGTAAGAAAAAATTAAAGTCAGAAATAACATCAGCTGCGTCCTACTTCGAATTTTACCCGTTACCTTCTTTTTCCGTAATTCGCGAAATCGAAAAGAGTTTTCCTCGAAAATTCACAATGATTCCTCAGACTAAAGCCTTCTTGGAAAGCTGCAAGGGCAAAAGGCAAGAGAACGCAAATCCCGCAAGTAATCAAGGGTCGTAGCATGTGGTTTTCCACGAATCAGACACTTTCCGATACCTATAATCATCAATCTCCCGCCAGTGTGCGGTATGCCAATTTCCACAAGTAATTGCAAGACGCAATTTTGCATCTACCCTCACATGCTTAGTTCCAGATACTAATTGTTTGAGAATACTTAGCGTCAACTACTAACTAAATTAGTTCTCTGTCTGCAAAGTTTCTTCTCCGGGTCCTGGTTGCGGAATTGAACGCGAAACTCTCTGATTCGATTCTCCACGGGCTTTGCTAATCTTGGCACGAGGTGCTTTCGGCTGTAGAATAAGAAATCCAATTGCTGGAAATTCAAAATTCAGAAGCCGATATCACTACATAATATTATGCTCTACGTTTCTATCATCACAATCAACATCAAACTTATCAAGTCAAACTTATTGGATGACAGTTTCCATTGATCCTAGTTCTGAGTCTAATTTTTAGTTAAACTTACCTATTTTTTAATTATACTCTGAATTTAAACTTGTGTTTTGCTATAATGCAACTCTAGGCCCATTTACTCAAACATGGACTACATTTAGCAGTAAAAAATTACTATTAGTGACACTTATTAAGAGGCCAAATGTGTGTTATTGGTTTTCCTGTTCAAGTAGGTGTGATTTCTGATTTGTTTATTGCAAAATGCAGTCCTAATGAACGAAACTGCCAGCAACCAGCTTCCATGGTGGCATACAAGAGATTGTTCTATGGCGGAAACTTAAATTCCGATTTTTTCTAAAAATATCTCATTTTTTGTAACAATAAGTTTTTTTGCGCAATCTTTTTCATCCTGAAGATGTGCAACGTAATCACAGATTTTGCCGTGCCGGGCTCTGAATACGTTACGCACTCGGAGGCCTACTCAATAAACTGTGCCGTCAGAAATCGCTTAGAGTTTTTCTTTATGCTGCTTTCTTTTCCTCGAATCGAAAGTTCAATTTGTGTATGTTTAAAAGGCATTTATGTATTAATGTATTTGTTTCTTTTAATTGGGTTTTTTTTTGTTTTTTTTTCTTTGCTCAGGTGCGGCATGTTAAAAAAATGGCCTGCCGCAGTTGCAGTAGCCGTGATACTTACGCTGTCAGCAGGCTTTCAAGAACAGCAAAAAACGGTGAGTAATACAGATAACTATCTCTATATTATACAGCTACACGCAAAATCTTGGAAGCACTATTTCTGACGAACTGCCGGACCGATATGGACGATCTTTACATGTATGTCATCTGTAGTAGATGTAGATGTGCAAAAAATTAAGAAACCCCGAACTTTTAATGTTGTAGAGCTTTTAAAGCTCATGTCACTTAAGTCCAATGTTAATAGCGTGAGAGATACGTCGTTTCCGCTAGAAACGTCAAGGTGTAGGATTCTACCTGAGTGACTCCAATAAAAAATAAAACAATGGAAAAGCTCGTGAAGGGCTCCTCATTCGAAGTGTTAAGGAACGGTGCATAGCTCAGAGTTCAAGGTTCAAGATCCAAGGTATAAGGTTGAACTTAATTTTTCCTGCATTCTTCCAGCTTCGATTTGTGGCATTGGTCAATTACTTGATTGCTGAATTTCTATTAATATTTACAGCAGATAAACAGCAGATACAAAGTGAGAAGGCAGGTGCTGCGTCGCGTCGGGACGGACCAAATATTATTAACTCTTAACGGTCGAAATCAGATTTTTTTTTTTTTTTTTTTTTTTTTTTTTTTTAATTAAGTATTTAAAGGTAACATAAATGGAGTAGTAATAGAAATTTTTCCAGTAAGTGGACTGTGAAATTATGTACATCCAGATATTTCTCATCATTTACAAATCTGAGTGTTACGTCAACAATTTTGAAATCGATGCAGCTCGAACACAAAATGGTGTATTAAAATGGAAGAACATTTTTGCCTATACATATGCATATAGGGCCCGCGAAGTGGGCCTGAGGGCGCGAGGCGCCCTTCCGGGGGTTGGGCCGCGTAGTGGTCAGGGGACAGGGCCCCCTAGTTCTATATAATGTGCTTGAACAGCCAGCATTTTAAGCGCTCAGCCGATAGGCGGCGCTTTTGGGCGCTTCTGGGTACCAGATGCGCCCTTTCCAGCCGTTCGACTCCCCCGATGTAACATGTACTATACTACATACCGTTTTGCCTTATGGGTAATGACGCCATTCTGGCACACCCGGGAAAATTTGATTTTTTTCTGCATCTGGTATTCGTAAAAGTTTTCGTGAAATGTTTTGCTTTTAAGCATAACAATCTCGCACGGACGTATTACCTGGTTAAACTATTTTGGGGCTTCGTTATGCTTAAGTGACTCATATTCGAGGTTGTAGTTTCAGATTGAATCGAAAAAATCACGAACAGTCACGTGATCTCTTCATTTTAGTGACGTATTACTGTGCTATTTTGTGATTGGTTCATTTTCTCGGCGCAGCATCGTCAAGCGTCAGCTGTTTGCGGCTCTGGGTTGAAGGTTTAAGGTTATGTCAGAGAGAACAGAAAGTTAGAGGCCCGACTCGATGCTAGGTAATTGAAACAGATGCGCTCGCAGCGCGCTCGCTGGCAACGTACGCAACTACTATTTTCTATTGTTTTCCAGAGACTAGCGGCGGGTATGTTGCTGCCGGACCACCTTCACGTAGGCAATTTGTTATACATCGTCCGTCCGCAATACTCTCGCTTGGCCGTATGAAAACGTTCCTCGCATGCGCAGTGTTAAAGAAGCGCCATCCAACGCTTTGGCGTTGGAACTGCTTGTTTGTTTTCGACCTGCCACTAGAGCTCTAGTATAGTAGGGCGCACAAGCGGTCAAATGGCGCACCAACTCATCTATGCACGGAACGCCATTTTTAGTTTTTTTTTTTTTTTTGATTACCTCATTATATCTCTGTGAATACGATTTAATGCAAATTAGCGTAAGAAATAAATAACAGTCCTAAAACTGTCTTCGCTATGCGGTTTATAGTTATCTTATAATTACTTCTGAAAGTTCAAGATTCGCGTTCTGTTTTCCGAAAACTTTTCCACCGGTGACAACCTCATTCGGAGACCATTAGTAGAATTTTCCTACATCTAGTTTATGTGTCTTTGACCTAGGTACTGGAGGGTATTGCCATCCTTTTGCCCCTCTCTGATTGGTTCATGAGTTTTGGCCTCTCTGGCCCCCTTCAGGCCTAATAAGATAAATGTTCGTTTTCTGTAGGTACAGCCACGATTCAGATTCAGATGACACTACTCTCCCGTATTTGCTTCTCGCGTCTCGCTTACTCCTTTGTTTTTTCATCTTTCGTCCATCTCCATCCATAATTCCAGACTGGAGCATTTTGCGCACCTCAAGCGCAGGGATTTGTACCTTCTTAATTGTCACCACCTCATCGCTGCAAATTATGAATAGGACCGCTCGAGTGTATCCTTGATCATAGAATATCTATTATTCTCAAAGCAATGTCGTCATCACATCCTTGTCAGTTCACAACTTCTGATTATTGAGTTTAACCCTTTATTGCATAGCGTTGCATGAAAGCAACAAATATTTTTTGGGTTTTGATCCTCTATGGCAGGAAATTGCGCAAAGCAACACATTGTTTTTTGGAGAGGATTAGATGCCTAATCTCTAAAATTTCCAAAAAAATAATATAAACTGGAACTGCATCTGTTCTTCTAAGCCAAAAACACTGTGAAATGTAGATTTTTCCCTTGAAATCGGTGATTGACTCATGCAACAAAGGGTTAACTAGGTGTCAAAAAATCTGAGATATCTGAAGTAGCAGAAAATTGTGTACTCTCAAAGTCTAAGATTTTTTACGGCACCGACAGTTTCATAAATCTTCCTTATAACACTCTACTCTGAAACCACTACATTCCACCTCTCACATTGCTCCATAACAAAGGCATGTGTTAGCTTCTTAATTGTACTAAAAATTCTAGGTTTCATGACTCATTTACTCATTCACTCTTTGGTGAATTTGGTTCCATCAGATTCATTGCAAGACACCTTATGTGTTATCTCCGCAGACTTAACACAGGCATTTGAACGCTCAATAAAAGCAAAATTTCAACTGGCCGGTTGTCTACTTTACAGTAAAGAAGGTAAATAGCCCTCCTTAAGGACTCGCTTTGAGACGATAAAACAAGGTTTTTCCATTACTTACCGTAAGACGGTAATGAATTTTCCACACTCAAAAAAAAAAACTACGGCCGTGGGACCCGGTTGCTCTGGACACTGGTGATCCCGGTGTTAACGCGCCGTTAGCAAGCTAGTACCGGACCCGATGGCCGATGGCCCCTGGAGCCCGAGCGGCTTCTGAGACTGTAAGACCGGATAGGAGCCGAGCGTAAGTTACGGGTTTCAGGATCGGAACCAACCGCTTCCACGGCCGTTGGCAGTGAGGTGAGATTCAGTTTTCGGAAAATGGCGTCACCATCAGATTAAAATTGAGACGGCTCCGTGTAAATTCGCAGAAAATTATAATATTTTACGTCAATGTTATTCAGTGTGTGAATTTAAAGTTGCCGCCAGCCTTGACAACATTCGGGAGCGATCGAGCCACCACTCAGCGTTGTTTATTGAGGTTAGAATCCAGTCACTAAATTGCTTGGTCATTGATGGTCATTGCTCATTACGTGTGTTCGTTTTTCGTTTAATTTTGGAGGTTTCCTATATATTTTCTTGATTCTGTGTGGTGCACGATTGATTCTAAAGTTCTGTGTGATAACGCTTGTCAAATACTTTCGGAAATGCGACGAGAGTTAAGTGAAAATTGTCAGTTTTGGTAGTACCTACGCACTGAGCTCATATCCTCCCCCCCTGTAAGTTCGTTTGCAATTCACTTATTTTCCCCATACTAAGGGAAAGAACTTAAATTAAAGAAAAGCAATCAATTACCTGCCACATATCTTCCCACAGAGTAAATTAGCGCCGCACTAAAATACTGATAATGTAGGCACGAGAATGTCCATTTATTGCTGACTGTAACATTCTATCATCACTTTTGCTTTGTTCTGCCTGTGTAAGAGGATACAGTTTTTATTCAATTTCGATCTAATCTCTAACTCATAGATGTTTTCAACTGTGAGTAGTATTGCAGTCTCTGAAATCTTCCCTCTCTGTTACAAAAACAGCTGTTTGATAGCGGAAACTGTACGGATCCCACCCTGCGCAGATTATCTGATAGTGAGAGCAAGCTCGAACGTTGTTGCTGTGAATAATCTCTCTGATTCCATATCCTAATTCTAGGGAGCTCAGTGTTACTGTAATAGTGGTAAAATTTTGTGTGAATCGCGCTTCAGTTTGCTGAAGGGAAGATCTATAATTTTAACAAGTGTGACAATTTTCGGTGGTATATTTCTTCGCTAATATTTTGTGGAAATTGTATCCGGTAGTTCTTGCGGAGAGTTATATCTTGAAGTTTTGTCAACTTTTACTACTGAATTTACACTTTGAAATATTCTCAACCTCATTTTCAAGATTCTGAAGCTCTTCTAGTCGTAAGGAGTAAAAATCTGTAAGTACCTAGACCTACGCCTGTGGTTTTACTTTGTTAATCATTTAGGTGATTTCCTACTTTGCATTCGTATTTTTTATTGAGGGATGAACCAGGTTTTGTTTTTGACAAATGCTGAATTCTCATTGAGTGAAAGTAATTACATTTATTGAGAACGGGCTGCCAAGTGATAAAAATGATTTTTCAATTTACATTTTTCGCTGCAATGAGTTTTATAGCAATTTATCATACCTTGGGCAGTCTGTTCTACATTTAAAAAAGGCAGCAAGAATTTTTGATCTATCTACATTTGTTCCTTCTAGTGCTTCCCCAATGCTTTATTTATTTCTAGGAAGGCTTGCAACATTAAAGTTAGGTTTTTGAAAATTTCTCTTGATATCTCTACACGATGAATAAGCTAACATTCATATGCTGATTTTCTTT